TTTTTTTTTTTTTTTTTTTAAATGTATCATAATAAGATAGACTGACTGGTGGCAACAATGGACTCAAAGTTGACAATAATTCAGAAGATGGCGCTGGAGCAGGCAGAGTCCATTCTGCTGTACATAGGGTTGCTAAGAGTCGGTGGCACCTAACAACAACAACAATCCTTTAAAGCAAGTCAGAAAAAACATAAACTCAGGTTAATCCTACTACTGTAAAACCTGTGAGAGCCACAACACTATGAGACTGCCTTGTTTTTCTAGGTCTTACAAGCTTCCCACCTTTGACAGGATGTAGTTTTACTAATTTTCTATCACTTATTTTAGTGGAAAATGTTTAAGTCATCCTTCTCTGGTATGTTTCTGCCTCACACAGTGTTATAGAATGAACTGTGTCCTGCAAAAAAAAACTGTGTCAACTTGGCTGGGCCAAGATTCACCGTATTACATAACCATTATCCTACATCTTGTGATCTGATGTAATTATCCCCACGTGCTGAAATTCTCACCTCTATGCTGCTGACGGCACTTAACAACAACAATGCTGCTGATGTAACCCTGATGTGGCACTGTAGAATAAGCACTGGACTGGTAAGTACAAGGTAGGCAGTTGAGACCCACGAGTCGCTCTTGGAAACTCTATGCAGGGTCACTATAAATTGGAACCAACTTGATGGCACACACTAACAACACGATGTTAATGAGGCAGAATTACAGACACCTATTCTACTATGGCAGGATGCACTCTACAGGAATAGGTTTTACCTTGACACAGTTCCTTTTAAAATATTGTTGTTGTCATTAAGTGCCTTCAGGTTGGTTCCGACTCATAGTGACCCTGCACACACAGTTTCTTAGAAGCAGCTGGTGAGTTTGAACCACCGACCTTGCAGTTTAAACTGACTTTGCAATCCAGTACATTAACTCACAGCACCACACCTGAAGTCCACAAGTTTAAAAGTACATATAAATTATTTAACAAAGATAGTAACAAAACGAAGAGCATAAAAACAAAGAGCTGGTTAATATAGTTTACCTCATAAATAGGAAGTGCAGGAGAGTTCCATGCATTGATTCTTGATTCATTAACATCAACAACTGTTACTCTGATTTCAGGGCACATATGAGCAATGACGCTACACGTGGGTCCTCCAACATAGCCCGCACCAATGCAACAGATCTTCTTAATTTCAAACATGATTGTACTAGAAAGGAAATAATAAAGACTGTTCTAGTATTGAAAACAGAAAATTTATAGAAATCACATTGCACATCCAATGTACTTTATAAAAACTGTCAAAGTTATCTGGAAAGATAAAACACTAGCATTCCAATTGGATATCCTAGTCTGTTCTCAGGTTCATTAGCATGAAACAATGAAGCATATGGGAAAGATTATAGTAACTGATATTACTGGGAAAGAGCCACAGAAAAACTTACTATTTATTTAGAAAGTGAAAGGACAAAAATAAAACATCACTGAGCCTTTCCTGTAGGACAACTTTGATAGCTGAGGGAAAAGCTCAGTAGTGAGCACACTGATACAATTCTTGCTTAATGCTGGTGTATAAAGGTGAGTTTTTCAACTGGCTCAGACAAACATGATAAATATTCAAATTAGTTTCATAGTCCAAAATTGCTTCTGGGCTTGTACTCTTTACACACTTTATTTGGCATCAGCAATTTCTTTTTAAGTACAAAGCAATGGCCTTAAACCCAATTTCAACTTTAATCATATACCATGAGATGGGTAAAGGAAGATAATTTCTCTCATTACCAAAACTGTTACACAGATTTTTGACAGGTTTTCAAAAGCCATTGGGTCAAGTGACGCACACGAAGTAAAATCAGTAGGGATTCATTAATATACAAGAAAGTCTGTGTATTCATTTATGAGAACGACAACTGTCCAAGTTATAATTCTTAGAATGTAGTCCTTTCTAAAGCCTCAGAAATTATCTAATCTAATCCTTTCATGAGTTCCAAAGAGAAGGAAAATGGTAATCAGAGAGCTTGAGAATTCATTAATATACTCCTACTCCCACATACATCAGAGAAGGCAGTGTGGAAGGTCAGACTAATTATAATGTCTGATTATGCCTCTTATTAAAAACAGAAGCACAAAGAATAGTAACAGGGTCCTTTAAGAGTATCTCATTCCCTTTGATCTGAATTTGTATTAATCAAACAGTATTATAATTTTCATTTGTTCTCTGGATAGATTCGCCTCCTGCAATAGAATATGCTGACCAACCCTAACAAGTATCCTGATAGGCTTGCTGGCTCACTGCATTGCATTAATAAATGACTACAATCTGGTTTATAAGTCCATCTTTCATGGTTATGATTAACCAAAAAATAAATACATAAAGTCTACTCCCTAGGTCAATTCCAACTCATAGCGACTCTATATAGGGGTTCTGAGGCTTTAAATTTTATGGGAGTTGGCTATCTGTCTCCCTAAGAGCGGCTGGTAGATTTGAACTGCATACCCTGTGGTTAGCAAGCCAGTGTTTATCCTACAGCGCCACCAGGCCTCCTTGTGGTTACGACTGTTGCTGTTAAGTGCCACTGAGTTGGTTTTGAGACACAGCAACCCTGTATAGGTTTTCCAAGGAATGGCTGCTGGTGGGTTTAAACTGACGATTTTGTGATTAGCAATCCAGTACTTATCCTACAGTGCCACACAGGGATTGTTGTTGTTAAGTGCCATCAAGTCCATTCTGACTTGTGGTGACTCTATATAGGGTTTCCAAAGAGTGGTAAGTGGGTGTGAACCAGAGACCTCGTTGTTAGTAGTCCAGTGCATAATCTACAGCACCACTGAGTCTGGTACCAAACAACTTGAAAAACTACCAAAGAAAAAGAATTTTAATAAAACAACAAAAATAGGCAGCATTTGGAATGTAATGCTTGTACTAAAACTCAAAATTCGTAGAAAAAGGAATGAAAAGATAATAGAATTTTCCCACAATCTTTTAAAACCCCCTCATCAATAAAAGTTCAATTATCACCACTTTTTTTCTCTAACAATTGCACTATACTTCACTATATAGATGTACCTATCAAGAAATATTAAAGTCTTGATAAATCTGGAAGCCACCACTCATCTGGCAATTTGTCATAATGTGGTGACACGTGCGTTGCTGTGTAAAATACATCCACCTGTATTTTAATACCCATGGTGGACAGGTTTCAGCAGAGTTTCCAGACTGACAGACTAAGAAGGAGAGGCAGACCACTTCTAAATGGTTAGCCACTGAAAACTTAATGAATAGCAGCTGAACACTGTCAGATACAGTGCTGAAAGACAGCCCCTCAGGTTGAAGGCACTCAAAATACAAATGGGGAAGAGCTGCCTCATCAAAAATAGAGTTGATCTTAATGATGTGGGTGGAGGTAAACTTTTGGAACCTTCATTTGCTGATGTGTGGCACAACTCAAAATGAGAAGAAACAACTATAAACACCCATTAATAGTCAGAATGTGTAACGTATGAAGTATGTTGTTGTTGTTGTTAAGTGCCATTGAGTCGATTCCAACCCATTGCAACCCTGTATAGGGTTTCCAAGGAATAGCTGGTGAGCTTGAACCACTGAACTTGCAGTTCAAACGACTTTGCAGTCTGATGCATTAGCTCAAAGTGCCACACCAGGACTCCAACGTATGAAGTATGAATCTACAAAAACTAGAAAACTAGAAATAGTCAGAAATGAAATGGATTGCATAAAGACCAATATCCTAGGCATTAACGACCTGAAATGGCCTGGTACTGCTCATTTTGAATCAGTCAGTCATATAGATAAATTGAAGAGGAATGATGCTACATTCATCGCCAAAAAGAGCATTTCAAGATCTATCTTGTGGTACAATGCTCTGTGACAGGATAATATCTGTATGCCTAAAAGGAAGCCCAGTGACTACCACTATTATTTAAATTTATGCACCAACCACTAGAGCCAGTGAATATCAAACTGAAGAATTCTACCAACATCTTTAGTCTGAAATTAATCAAACATGCTATCAAAATGCATTGATAATTACTGGTGATTGGAATACTAAAGTTGGAAACAAAGAAGAAGGAGTTGTAGCTGGAAAATACAGCCTTGGTGACAGAAATGATGCTGGAGATCACGTGACAGAATTTTACAAAACCAATGATGTACTCATTATAAATACTTTATTCAACAATATAAAAGGTGACGTTACACCTAGACCTCACCAGATGGAATACAAAGGAATCAAACTGACTACATCTGTGAGAAGCAAAATTATCATCAGTCAAAATAAGGCCAGGGGCATGTGGAAAAGGCCATCAATTGCTCATATGCAAGTTCAGGCTAAATATGAAAAAAATTAAAACAAGTCCACAGGAGCTAAAATATGACCTTGAGTTTATCCCACCTAAATTTATAGACCATCTCTAGAATAGGTTTGATGCATTAGACACTAATGAAGAAGAACTGTGGGATAACATTGAGAACATCATACATGAAGAAAGCAAAAGAGTCATTAAAAAGATGAAAAGGATAAAAATAGATGTCAGAAGGCACTCTAAAATTTGCTCTTCAGAGTAGAGAAGCTAAACCCACTGGAAGAAATGGTAAAGTAAAAGAACTGAACAGAGAAGACAAAGCAAAGTATCATAATGAAATGTTCAAAGACCTAGAGTTAGAAAACTAAAAGGTAGGAACATGCTCAATATTTTCCAAGCTGAAAAGAACTGAAGAATAAATTCAATCATTGACTAGCAATAGTGAAAGATTCTACTGACAAATAATGAATGATGCTAGAAACATCAAGAGATGATGGAAGGAATACACAGTCACTGTACCAAAAAGAATTAATCAAAGTTCAGTCATTTTAAGAGGCGCCATATGGTCAAGAATCTATGGTACTGAAGGAAGAAGTCCAAACAGTACTGAAGGTGTTGGTGAAAAACAAGGCTCCAGAAATTGACGGAATACAAATTGAAATCTTTCAACAAACTGATGCAGCACTGGAGGCGCCCACTAGTTTATGCCACGAAGTTTGGAAGACAGCTACCTGGCCTACCTGGCCAACCCATTGGAAGAGATTCACATTTGTGCCCATACAAAAGGAGGTGAATCAACAGAATGCAGACATCACCTAACAATATCCTTAATATCACGTGCAAGTAAAATTTTGCTGAAGATAATTTAAAAATTACTGCAGCAGTACATCTACAAGGAGCTGCCAAAAATTCAAGTCAGATTCAGAAGAGGATGTGGAATGAGGGATTATCTGGTTGCTGATGTCAGATGGATCTTGGCAGCATGTAAACAACACCAGAAAGATGTTTACTTGTGCTTTATTAACTGTGTGGCATTTGACTGTGTGGATCATAAAAAACTATGGATAAAATTGTGAAGACTGGGTATTCCTGAACACTTATTTATGCTCATGAGGAACCTATACAGAGACAAAGAGGCAGTTGTTAGAACAAGGGAACACTGAATTGTTTAAAATCAGGAAAAGTGTCCATCAGGGTTGTTATGTGCTGTCACTCTTGAATGCTGAGCAAGTCATTCGAAAAGCTGAGTTAAGTGAAGAATATGGTATCAGGATTGGAATAAAAGTTATTAACAACCTGTGATATGCAGATGACACAACCTTGCTTGCTGAAAGGGAAGCACACTTGGTGTTGGAAAATAATATTGAAAGTACCATGTACTACCAGGAGAACAAACAAATCTGCCTTAGGAGCAAGGATGGTAAGGCATCATTTCTCGTACCTTGGACATAATATCAGAGGGCCCAATCCCTGGTGAAGGACATCATGGTTGGAAAATTGGTGGGTCAGTGAAAAGAGGAAGACCACCCCCCCCAACAAGATGGAGTGACACAGTAGCAGACACAATGGGCTCAAACATAACAATTATGAGGATGGTGCAGGACCAGACAGTGTTGCGCTCTATTGTGCATAGGGTTGCCGTGAGTCTGAATCAACTTGATGGCATCTAATAACAACAACAATGACATCTGGTAGATTATCTCCTTAATAATCTATATGTAGTATAGTGGTTAAGAGTTGGGCTGCCAACCTCAAGGTCAGTAGTTCGAAACTATCAGCGGTTCCGCAGGAGCAAGATGAGGCATTCTGCTCCCGCAAAGATTTACAGCCTTGGAAACCCTGTGCAGGGTCACTGAGTCAGAACCGACTCCACGTACTTAACA